GTCTTTTAGAGGGGAGGCTATAGGAGACTTCATGATTAGGTTTGGACTCTTCAAAACCGAGCCTAGTAATTTTTAGTTTAATTCAGCATTTTCTGAGTTGCCCTATAAAATACTTGCCTCATCTGTTAAGCACATTTCATCAGTTTTAAAAATCTAGAACAAGGTATTATTTCCTAAAGCAGTTGCTTAGAAACTTAGGATCATGAGCTCTACCCTGAGAGACGACTGGCTGAGTTTTGAGAAAGGCAATTCCCTAGGTCATTTAAGAAGACCTTTAGTGACATCTGACAAGTTCAAAGGGGGAACAAATGGGTAAAATGCATGTTGGATGAGGCTCATTCTCGGTTATGTCGCTGGGATGAATGAGCCCAGGAACTCCTAGTTTGCTGGGAATAAGGGAGTCAGTGACTGTAGACTTGACCTCCTGAACCTGGGCTGGGTGGTCAGTGCCAGAGGACCAGCCACTAAACCATAAAGCCCATCGTGAGTGGTGGCGGTGCTGTCAGTTTTAGCCAGTTTAGTTGGGGGCTTGCATTTTTTTCTAGTGAGGTTCATTTCCACTGGGCTCTCTGCATGTTTGCCCTCTGCTCGTTGTGGCTGTAGAACCATTTGTAAGACAACTAGGGTGTGGATGTGCTAGCTTAAGGGATTAAATACTTGGTGAGTTTGACCTTGTCTGGTTGTGGGCCATTCTTAGGCTAACTAACCAAATGAAGGTCAAATCCACAGTTTAAATTGTGATCGCAAACTACAGTTTCCTCAATTCAGTATCAGAGAAGTTGAGTCTAGGGGGAGAAGCCTGGGAGAGTGGACTTTAGCCATTTAATTGGGATTAAGAAAGAGTCTTACGGGCTCAAATTTTCTATTCTCTCTGGGATCTCTCTCTCTCTCTCTCTCCAATGGTGAACCTAAAGATTTGACTCTCTTGCATTTGACAGGTTCAAGGGAAACACTTGTCTTTGGTGTCACTGTTTCTCTTAGATAATAAAAAAAAAGAATAGTACCAGTACAACTCTGTTTTTTTCCTTCCACTTTCCATGGACGGTAATTTTCCACTAAGTCCTGGTCCTTCAAGGCTGTTTCTCCTCAGTGTCCTGCACATAATCTGAGATAGAAGCAGGCTTTCCAGGCATTGATCCGTTGGCCAGATTTCTTATGTTTTCTGTAATGAAAAGTATTTAACTGCCTTTTAGAACCACGTACTTCTATGGAAAGAACATAAATGGGAAAATAACTTCCATTCTTTTGAGACAGAGTCTCACTCTTTTTGCCTGGGCTAGAGTGCCGTGGTGTCAGCCTAGCTCACAGCAACCTCAAACTCCTGGGCTCAGGCGATCCTCCTGCCTCAGCCTTCCAAGTAGGTGGGACTACAGGCATGCGCCACCACGCCCGGATAGTTTTTTTTTTCTATGTATTTTTAGTTGTCCAATTAATTTCTTTCTATTTTTAGTAGAGACGGGGTGTTGCTCTTGCTCAGGCTGGTCTCGAACTCCTGAGCTCAAACAATCCTCCCGCCTTGACCTCCCAGAGTGCTAGGATTACAGGCGTGAGCCACCGCGCCCGGCCCCATTCTCTTTTCTTGCATCAGAAGGAGGTCCCTGGAAGTGAGTTGCTCAAGGAGTATCTGTCACATGGTTATTCTTTCACATCTGTACTGGACAAGGATCCTTGTGTCTGATACACAGGGAGATCTTTTTCTTTTAAAGATCATCTTACTTGAGTCTTTCACTCTTGCCTTTAACTTTGGTTAAGTGAAGCTTTTCTATACTTCTGTTTTCCTGCTCTTCTTTCTCTCTTTGACCCCATATCTGTTTTCACTACTCTATACATCTCAAAAAGTCTGGGACTCACCAGCTACCTCACTCTCTCCTCTACTTAAAGTCTCATATTTCCCGAGACACCTCTTTCTCCTAAAAGGCAGGACATCTGAGAGGGGATTTTTCTTTCTGGACTTTATTGTTAGATTGCTGTCCTGCTGGAATCCAAATTCAATATGGAAACCAACAACACTGTAAGGAGAATGATTAAAACACACGGAACTTGTCCTAGGTCTTTTAATGTTGTACATAAAGCTTCCGCCCTATGAAGGTAGTATTTATTACTCATTTGCATTATTCTTATTTTAAATGACGGCAAATGGAGGCAGATTTGGGTTCTCATTGAAGAATTCACTGAACATTTATCATGTGATCGAGCATGTTGTGGGCCCTGGGGATGTATGGGTAAATAGGGTGATGTCTTTGTCCTCAAAGAGCTTACCTTCTGGCCTGAAAATGTCACGCTTGCCTTGGAAGAGCAAGTCTCTGGCCATCAGAGGTGTCAAAGAAAGTTTGATGACTTGTTGGAAGTCTTGCCTGACAGCCTCCTAACTTCTCTGTTAGGTGGGGGCCTGTTCTCAGCGAAGAAGAAATCTTAATATTGTGCCCAACTCCTAGAGAAGAAGAACTTAACTTAAACCTTGGTGGCATAGTGCTTTATTTTTTTATGCTGTAGAAATGTGAATGGGATTTAAACCTCGAACAAATACGTTTGTGTTGCAGGTCAAGGTTGCTCAGCACAGCCCAGTGGATTCAGGTGCTGCCTTCCGGGAACCCAGTGCAAAATCTCTCTCAGTCCACAATCTTCCCGAGAGAGGCTCAGCTGACAGCCCCAGAGAGGGCCTGCGAGCCAAGCGAGGCCGACTGGCCGCCAGCCCAGAAGCCGGAGCCGAGCCCAAGGGCAATGAGAACTGTAGGGTCCAGTGAAGACACCTGTGTGTCAGCACCCCAAGGAATAGTTGAGCAGATAACAGTGGGGAGAAAACGATTCCTTGTAAATAAAAATATATTGTACTCTTTAGATCTTCCATGTGTAAGTACTGAAAACGTTTGGAAGCACTGGTCATTGATTCAGCATTGATATTCCTCTGCCGCGCTGTAAATAGTACTGTGTAAACCTTTTTGTTAATAAGTTACAATTAAATGGCAAGCACTACCTAACGACCTCTGTATGTCGATTTCACACGGGGACAAAAAAAAAGCAAAACCTATTTTATATTTCTAATTAACTGCTCCCAGGAAAAGGTAAACTTTTGCTTTATGATGTTTCCTATCTATCGTGTTAGGCATGAAATAGATTTAGATCAGGAATTTCTTTGAGCTGAGTAAAATGAAGCGAACTTCCTGTGTTGTATGTTTTTGAGGAAAACATGCGCACATATACATATGTAGGTGTGTTTCTCTTTCTCTTCCAGTGTGTTTTATAAATCCTTGCATATATAACCTGTACATACGTGTATGTGGGAGTAGTGGAGAGGTCTGGTTGTAGGCTTCTTAGAGGTTTGGTATACCTTGTTTTCTGTCATTGTGCTTTTTTCTTTTTTTAAGACCAATTTCTTAACAATTCTTTGGTATGCATTCTCCTATCTGGTGGTAGAGTATTAAAATATGGCCTTTGTTTTCTAATAAAAAAATCACCTTTGTTTTCTGTAAAAATGCTGTCTAAATATAAAGGTATCATGAATATTGGTACCATTTGTGGCTAACTACAACAACCTCTTATAAATGTAAAAATAGTCGAATAAATGATATAGATCTTTAAACAAATGATGCTGGTATATTTAATGAACATATTCAGTTATATTAAAAGACACAATTTAGAATGTGGGTCATAAGGATTATATGGGAATATGCTATGTCCAGCCCAGGGCCTAGTACATTGTGTAAACCCATTAAATCACATCAGCAAGGATATACGTATATGGTATTTTCCAGCTCACTCATTGATGATACAGTTTTGAAAATATGCAGGCATTCTGAGCCATATCAGATCCAAAAACATGTGAATAAGCCCGTGGGTCCTTGAATCAGGGTAAAAACGTTTTTCAGGACATGAGCTAGTAAAAGATAATTTGTTCTTGGCTTTCAGTGCAGATTGATACACAAACTTTGACAAACATCATCATTTATATTTTAAAATCGTCCTTTGTGAGGTGGTCTCAGTTGTTGGATAATGCTTCAATAATATTAAGCTACTTAGTATTCATCTACTGAAAGTGATACCCTGACTTTCCTCATTTCTTTCGTTGCTCGGGGTCGTGGTCTGGAGCAATATCCGTACCATAAATCATCCCGAGGCTGCCATGTGCTCAAGGGCATGACCCGCAGTAGACGTCGTTGGGATCCGGCCATCAGCTTTGTTGGCTGTCTCTAGTGATCGGAAGATTCCACTCAGTAGGCCTTGCTGGGTACTTTCTTGCATCCTTGAAAGCATCTCCATCTTTTCCTAGGTACGCTGTAGCTACTGCTTTTGTTACATGGGATACTTCCATTTTTATAATCATAGCGAATTATTCAAAATCTTATAAATAGACAGCCAGGATATTTAATATTTTTTCTTTGAACTAACAACACTCTTCTATGAGCTGAGCTGTATATGGGATGAAAAGTAAAAATGCTACAGTCTCAACTCTCATGTACCTTATAAACCAGTCGAGTCATAAATAAGATCCCAGTGGACTCGAGTCATAAATAAGATCCCAGTGGACAACGCATATGGGAAAATGGACCAAGTCCGGAGATCTGGGAATCAGATTCTCATCCGTACGATGAGGGGCTTGGTTGAAATGATTCTTTTGCATTGAATGTTCTGTGGAAATTGAAATGGCCCTTTGTGTTGATGGAGTTGTCCACAGTCCAAAGGAATTGCATCTTCAATAAGAAGGGGATAAAAACCAACATTTAAATGTAGCCTGATTTCTTAAGTGTCACCTTTCCACTCACCCCCTAACTTACCTTCCTTGAGATTTATTTGTGATTTTTCTCGTTTGATCCCAGTTTATTTATTTTGTTGGAACTATGAAATATTCACCGGTTTGTTTGCACCTGGAAAGAAGTCAGGGCACTTCTTCCTAGGGGTCCCTAACTCTAGGGGTGTGGAGGAGGGTGCAAACTTTCACTTTCTAACTCGTTTGATTCTGCAAAGGCTTCTAACTACTCTTACTGTGGCTCAGAACACTGATTGTTATTTTAGAGTTCCCAAGTTCTTCCACAATCATTCAGGTTATGGCAGTGTGCCATGGAAGGAATTTAAGTAGGAAATAAACCATGATCAATTATTGTAGGCCATAGGTTTATTGCACCAGAGTCAGAAGTTGCTGTGATCATTGGCATGTTTTTCACATTTCTCTTCTGTGGTTGAGAAGGGGGATATAATTATTTGTTGAAGAGGACATTAAGTACCTAAAATTGGTAACTGCCACTTGGTAGCTGAGAAAGGTTGAGTTATGCTCCCTCCACTTCTATCCATGTAATCTGCTTTCCCTTCGGTGGAAGGGGATTTATACCAGATTACTGACTAGGTTACTGAAGAGAGAATCAAATCGTGTGCTTCAGAAGAGCCTGGCCATTCTCATTGAGGACCTGAAGCTGGCATCCTTTTCCCAGGCATCTAACGCCACTACTCACCTGAGCTCAACTACTTAAAACACTGGATAGAAAATCACATACATTTTACAACATATTTTCACATTTGCTCAAACCTTACACCTTTGTGATGTAGACATTAGAATTTCCATTTTCTTGCCTGAGATTAAGACACAGGTAGAACTTCTGACTCATAGGTCTCGGGAGAGACTTTGTTTAATAACATCCCGTGCCTCCCAACAACATTTTAAAATGAAGATTATTCTTATCGAATGAAAAAGATGTAATAGGCTCAGAGAGTTGAAGTATTTGGCTCAAGAAGTAGCAGAGTTGAGTTTCAGCCTCAACTTTGTGAATACAGAGCCTGTTCTCTTTCTTGTTTGTCCTGTTGTCTCTCTAGAAGCAGGCTTTTCCAGAATAATTCTGATAGTACAAATATTCACATTATATTAAGTACCTTTTCCATGTTCTATGTGCAATGAAGATATTCTTAAGTCTAGGATGATTGCATCTGACCTGTGTTACCTTACATTGAATTTTCCAAAAATATGCAATGAGACTAACTGTAAATTTCAACTTCTAAAAATTGTAACTACTAACTTAATGCATAAGTGTTATTTACTTAAATAAAGGTAAAGCCTTTTAAACAGTATGTTTTGGAAAACCATGTAAAATCTAAAGATCTGTAAGGCTTTGAATACAAAAGTTTAGTATAATGTAGACATTGAAAGTGAAAGTGTCAGAATGCCTGGACTCCCCATATGACTTTGGGCAAATTACCAATTCTTTGTGCTTCAGTTTCCTCATCAGTAAAATTGGATATAATAGTAATACCTCTTGGAGTTGCCATGATTAAATTAGTTCTTTGCTTAATACTTTACACTTATGATTTTGCACTCCATAAAGTGTTGGTTATTCTGTACAGAGATAATTACACAGATAATTTTAAATACTATTATAGCAGCTTAAAATTGTTAGATAAATCTGTTCATCTAACATAATACATTAATTTCAGATCAAATTCTGTCCTATGAAATTCTCACCAATCTCAATACCCCTGATGCTTATTTTGCAAATGAGTTTAATCACTATAGATTTGTACATGTCATTCAATTATTGATCTTGCAAGTGAACCATTCTCTGTTTTTGTTTTTTGTTTGTTTGGCTCATTAAGAATATCCAAAGAAAACAATTACTGCAATTTTATTTACAAATGGGTTGTGCTTCAGGAGTTCACATATAAATTGGTTGTTTGGAACTCGGAGTACATTTCCTTATAAAAACGACATTGCAAATTGTGCCTTAAATTCAAGCCCAGAAAGCCAATTTAGCTCATAGTATGTTAAAATGGCAGTTAGGTTTGATTCAACCATACGCAACCTCCATTCACAGCATTGTTTTCTCTGGAAAAATATATTTTAAGAATGGGGTTGCCAGACACTCATTTTTCTACCCCTCAACCATCTTTCCAATGTGTCCCACTCTTCCCTTCCCATTTTGTGATACTGGACAGGAATTGTCCAGTGGTCTCAGGACAGGGACGTGGGGATGTAGATTCCTGCCTGCCGAATTTCTAGAGCAGTGGCTGCTCCCAGTCTGAAAGGGAAAGTGATGGTTTTTATGTTGGTTCTGATGCTGCAGGCAAGGTCAGTTTTGTGTACTGTTGGTGTATTTGTGTGTGTAAATTTGAGAGGGTTGTTTAATTCATATTTTAGAAAATCACAAGGAAACACACATGTCCCCAAGCTTCGTGCATTTTTGTTGACTCCCAGATTGAGTTCCAGGTCACAAAATTCCCACCGGCCTTCGTCCTCTTGACTCAATGACTGTGGCAGATGAATAAGATTACTATAGTTTGTTATTCCTCCTCCTCTAGGACAGCTCGAGGATGACCAGAGGGTAACGTATAAAAACACTGTATTTGCCAAACCAAATGCTTGCTGTTTCAAATGCTTTATCTCATTTGTTATTTAATAATCTTGTGTAGTGGGTCCTATTTTGCCATTCAAGAAGAGACCCAAAGAGGTCATTAAGTTTGTGACAAAACAAAACTCAGGGCTCTACTCTTGATCCCCTAGTCCAAACCTCTTCCTATATTACCGTATACCTCCCCAGAAGAGACTAAAGGGATTCAGTTGCCTAAGAGGCCAACTACCAGCCTGGTGGGTCCTTTTTAGAATCCCATTCTGAACCCAACGGAGGAAGTTTCCTTCTGTTAGGGCTCAGGACAACTCTGCACCTAAGGAAATCTGCTTTATTTAGCTTCATTTAACCTTTTGATGTAGTTGAGGATTTGGCATCCAGGTTCCCAGCCAAAATGACACTGTTGTAATAATAGGGAATTTTACTTCTCCCACTTTTGTTTTCCCCAACGCTGCTTTTGCAAGGAGGTGAAAAAATGAGCACCTTTCTACAGTTACAGACTTTCTAGTGAAACATTGGGATATTTTTGAGTTTTAGATGTGAACAGATCCACGTGGTGTTGAAATCACAGCTGTGTTATCTAACCAAGCATTTGCTGGCTGTGTGCCCACTCCCTCCTGGGGGACCTTGGCTCCTTGGGGCGTCC